GATAGTTCTTTTTTTTTTTTGGCGGGGCTAATTAGCAGAGTTGCGCAAGCGGGCACGGCTCACGGCTATCGGTTATATGTTGAGGCCCTATACTGATCCCGGAAAGTGAACGTATAGTTAGTAGCAACACTTACATGTTTACGGGGTCTTTTAGGAAGTAAACTCGTGTTAAATTTTAAAGGTACTTCAAAAGTATATATAATAATTCCCATGATATATAAACCAATTGTGATAGTCTGAAATAATAAAGGCCCATCTGTCTCCGAAGGTTCTAGATCGTGACAAAAGTTCTTCGATGATGGGAATGAGCGAGTGGTGCATCACTTGAAGTTAAGTGATTTCCGGTGCCCTGCGAAACGTGAATTGGCTGTGGCGTTGCCAACCTTTCCAATTAATTATCCTGAATACTTCACTCACCAGACGAAATGCAGAAGTACGCACTTCTCGTGTCGGTGATCTGTGAGCTGTGGTACTACCTAGATGTAAAAGCTACTATCGTCTCACCGCAATAAAAAAGTATCTCATTTGATCGAATTAAGTGAACTGTCGTGGCGAATAGCTAAGAACTAACGCAGGCGGGACATATTAGAAAATCAATCTTAGAGACGGCTGTTGTAGCAATGTATCTATTGATAAGTGGTTTAATAGCTTTGTTAAGAGGGGCAGGAGGGGGGGGGGGGGGGTAGAGTCGTGACAATAGTTGGAATTCACGCGGAGTCGTCGGCGGCAGGCCGGTAGCTCTTGACGGCTGGGTCAAACATTCTAATGTATGACGCAATGCCACACGAACTGGATTTGCACTCGTCTCACTAAACTCTGCATGCTAATAGCGTTTGTATTACTTTGTCCTTTCGCGATTAGCTCCGGTGTTAAGATCGATAATTTAAGACTTTCGTGTCATGAGAATCGAAATATTATTGGAAATTCGCGAAGACCCCGAACAAGAATAAAGTGTACACATTATACTCATTATACACTTGATCTTTTACAACTTTCTAAAATTTTCATTGAATAAGCCGTGTTAACATTAATGAACTTTCTAACACGAAATAATATGACTAGGTCGTAACAAATCAGGAAAGGAAATACACTTCCGCGACGCCCACTAACAGCGGCTCTCGCACCAAACACATTTCTTATTAATGAACTACGAATCCCAAATGAAATTAAATGCAAATTGTACATTTTATCGTCCTACCCTAAGCTGGGTCAAAACCCACCTACAAGAAAAGTATATTTCTACCATTCTAAAGATCCACAGCGCTTTCATAAATCCTCTTTTATTGTTAATGTGGTGTATCGTGATCACTTACAAAGTAACAAACAGTAACAGAAAATATCAAAGGCACTTTCAATTAATACGCGAATGCAAATGATAACGTATTCGAAGCGGATGTACGAGGCACAACAAGCATCGCGTGTCCATTGCTGTGTTGTATTGATAAGCTGTTGGGAGTTGGCACACAAAAGAGTTAATGAATGTATTGCACATTTAATTTTGCGACGTCGGCCAGGTGAGCAGACTGCTTGGCGCGCCACCTTTGTTTTTTTAAACAAACCTATTTCCACCGTGAATTTGGACGAACGCGTGGGCGTATGAAACGGAATTTGTTGACTTTCTTTTTTATGGCCTCCAAGAGTATAATAAATTTCATGACACTCGTCAAACCACTATTTCATTTTAATTTCTTGGGTAACGTTTAGATTTTACTATGACTCAGTGCGCCAAATTCAAAAAGTAACACAATGCCCAACAACATCGTTAATGTCATCAGTAGTCATCAGTATAATAGACAAACCTAAAGCGAATCCTAAATGATCACGGCTTATCCTAATTAAATATCCTGGACCGCAAAGAAAAAGGGTCGGATAGAAAATCTTCAAAACTTACCTGACCGAGCTTAATGAAATAAAAACTAAATTAAAGAATACTTTAATGTGCCTAAATAAAAATAAAAAAAAAAGAATTTAAGATTTTTATTTTTAATAAATGTAAATTAAATAAAAAAGCGTTTGGTAAATGCGTAGATTTGTTAAACACATGCCATTTTCGCGCATTTTAGGACTTTGTGTTGCATCCTCGAGCTCGCATACTGCTGTAATGCGATTTGGCATACTATTAGGTTTTAGAGTCCAAAAAGCCTACTCAATGGTGTTTAAGGCGGGGCTGCGTGCTCGTCATTCCATGTGTGATACCGATTTCTTGAAAATAAGCAAATATCTGAGCTGTATGCGGGCGGGCATTGTCTTGCATAGAAGAAATACTAGCCCTCACGTAAAAAGAGCAGAGAACAACACTGTATGGTACTTTTTCTTCTGTTCAGGCTTGGTTACAACGCTCTCCTGGTCTTCTGTACACCCTTTTCCTTCTGTCGTGCTTGTATAAACAGAGTCTAGTTACACATGAAAACATAACTCTTGACCAAATACCATAGCTTATATACGTTGAGTTTTTGTGGTGTATTTCGCTGACTGTGCCTATCTTTAAGCTTTGTCAGTGTCCTGGTACATTCTTCAAGGGTCAACAACATGATGACTTCAGTATAATAAAATTTATAAGGCAGAGACACACACATATTTATATCTTTTTTATTGCAAAACTTAAACAAACGCGAAACAATTTATTTGAATTTTTTCCGAAATTTTATCTACATTATAATGTTTGTGTTTAATTTCAGGACAGCTTCATCGTTTTACAGAATAATGGATGATTTCTAATTGTTTTGGAAACGACAATGGTTTGGCGTTGGACATCAATTCAAATTCGAATTGAAATTCAAAATATCTTTATTCAAATAGACGCTTTCGCGTTCTTATAAAACGTCGAATTTTACATAAATAATTAATATATAAGTTTATATGTAAGTTACCACTGGTTCGCAAAGCAGTTTTTGTTGAGAAGAGATCGCCAAAAAACTCAAAAGTTGCTCTTTTTTTTTAAAGATCAGATTACAATATAACGTATATAAAAAAATGTTCTATTCACTATTAACTTCACACATTGGCATCTTCGAGATATTCCGCAATGCTATAATATGCTTTAGTCATAAGTTTACTTTTGATTCTGCGTTTAAATTTGTCAAATGGCAGATTTAATATTGATTGTGGGGTTTTATTAAATATATACGCTCACCTTGCCCCATGAACGACCTATTTACTTTTTGTAAACGAAATAATGCTGTAACTAATTTGTCCTTATTTCTAGTATTTATTTTATGCCTTTCACTATTCTTTAGATAATAATCAAAATTATATCTTACATACAAAATATTACAATAAATATACTGGGACGCAACAGTGAGTACATAAATCTTTTCAAAAAGATCTCTATATGTATTCCGAGCTCCGATGTTAAAGATTGCTCGGACAGCTCTTTTTTGAAGAATAAATGTAGAATTTATATTAGATGCTCTACCCCATAACAAAATGCCGTACGATAAGATGCTGTGAAAATAACTGAAGTAAACAAGTCTAGCAGTGTCGATGTCTGTTAGCTGCCTACCCTTTCTAATCGCAAGAACAGCGGAGATTAGCCTAGTGCCAAAGGAGGTTAGATGGGGACTCCACTCCAGCTTTGAATCTACTCTAATTCCCAAGGATACAACAGACTCAACAAGCTAAAGAGTTACGCTCTTTAATATTAAACTAAAACTTTGTCTTGTTACGCTGGATGGGGTAAAAAGATGACATTTAGTTTCTTTGGCATTTAATATCATATTATTAATGGAAAACTTCGACTGCACAGTTCGTGGCGTCCTTCATCGTGGTGAAAGGATTGGCCAGTCAGTGGGAGAAGTGGCAGTCGAAGTGCCCAAGTTCTGGGCCGGAAAAATCTAATTTGTCATCGAGACACAAAGAAGAAGAAGAATGGTAAACTAGTGGAGGATATACGAAAGTTCATCATTCACGTCGTCATAATTCGATACATTTCCTTCAACCTTAGCGATGTATCGTCAGCAAACAGTACAACATCACTTAACGCACTGGCATAAAACAGCAAACGACACATCGAATTTTGAATTAATTAATAAAACTAAAATATTTTTCAATGCTTAATTTTGTACACGTGTGTTATAATATTTTCGGTGGTGAGTCATGGTGCTAAACGAATTACGTAATATCCAATACTAGTTAATGTAATAGCCATAGGCGATGTTGTATATGATATGAGTCATGTATTCATAACTATAGCAGGACACGTGGCACGGCAAAAAATGCTCGATGTCTTTAACGGGAGCGTAATTATGCCTTTTATTAAAGCTACGATAAAAGTTATCAATTTATAATCGAATGTAATCGATGCGAACACTTACTACACTAATGATACTTACAACTATACTACTTACGTCTCTCGAGTGGCAGGTCGCTAGTCAGTAATAATAAGCAAAAATGTATGAACTTATTGACTCTTTAAAATCAAAAGTCTTCAACCTTTTCTCGGTTACCGTTTCATTGTTACACAATTAAAGATTATCTTCGATTCTGTTACGCTATAGACAGTATTAGTATCCAATGGTCTTATTTAAATAGGGAACCAAGCAATATTCCGTTTCATAGAACTTATTAATTAGCCAAAGGCGAGAGGGTAATGCCTGGAGCCTGGCACCATACACAGCTATTTATCTCATTATTTTATAAAGAAAACTTCAATGGGATAGCATTTCATAGCACTGGCATTCTTTGTTTTTTATAACGTGTAGTTTGCTGTTAGTCTAGCGGGTTATGGCCGGTTTCAATACTCTATCTATAGATAGATTTGGTTACTAGAGGTAGGTTTTTGAGATTAGCTCCTTGGTACTTACATCAAATCTCTCCATTAACCAGTAAATAGTATGCTACTATTCTTTACATCAGTAATCATGATTTTATCTTAGAATATTTTAATAAAATTTTCTTAAAACTAGGGATTAATTACAATTTAATTTCATTAATAAACTTTACAGGGTATTGTAGTTATACAACAATGAACCACAGAGCTAGAAAAGCATATGAAAAATTTATAACGCGTTAATGACTTCTTCTTGCAAGCCCTCGAAACGGAATCTGTTTGCCCTTTTCTGCCGTGCGGTGATGCCGGCCTGAAGGTGGTACTGCCGGTACATGTATTCCTTGGTCATCGCTTGAGCCGTGAACATAGCCCGACTTCGCTGCAGAACCTCACTCCTTGGTCCCCAAGTTGGGTCCAATCGGACTACCACCGCAAAATTTTTCCTAAAAGCGCTTGCTATAAGTTTTATCATAACCCCTAAAGCAATGACGGCAACCGCCGTCGCCAGCAAATAGCGCCCCAGGACATCAATTAGAGCTGTGCTCTCCCATCGATGGTGAAGTTCACCGCAAAAGCCATATACGAGAAACGCACAGGACAATACCCAACCAATTTTCATGTAAATCGATGTCTGAACACCTTGCATGAAGTGAATATCTTCCCCGAATCTGTGTATTCCGTACAGTATTACGAATACACAACATTCGATTATGGCGATGAACGTTGATAGCATGTTCAAGTAGATCCGGCAAATCACCAGCACTACGTTTATACCTATTCGAGTCTGTAGCGGAATTGAAATAAAGAATAGAAGAGTAATCGCCAACAGGCATACGAGTCCAGGGTATCTAGCCACTTTTGGATTCCTCCTCATAGCCAATTCTAACAGGTTAAAAAAAGCGATGATGTTAGTATTTAGGCCAATGATTACATTAGAGCTGAAGATCAACGGTATCCACACAGAACTGTATGAATAATGTCGGAGGAGGCGAGGAATCTTCTCGAAAAGGAGGGCCATTGACGCTCCAATAATAAATTCTGGATCCATACTATAGTGATAAGCATACGGGCAGTATAACATTGCAGTAGTACAAATAGTGAGAATAATGAAAATCCCTGTAATGGCAATACAGATTACTACGTTGGCGTAGCAAGGCGATCGGAAATTTGTACTGCTAGCAAAATTAAACGTGATTCCGGTACCAATAGTCAAGGTAAATGTTATCTGCTGTATCAAGCTCGAGAAACGAAATTTTGTAACGAACGTATTGAAATACAAATCTAGAACACTCTCGAACTCTACCACTATGCCTTTCTGAAACATAGAACCCGTGAACAATAAAATATAGATGCAAACTGGATATAGTGCGAGAAAGTTTAAGAAATACTTAATCGACTGCAGTCGTTTGAAACAGCTCAGATATGTGATGACACAAGCAAGACCTGAGGCTAGACAAACCCGCCAAACTATCAAAAATCCTCCCTTACTCTTGATGTCCAAAATATAGTATCTCCAATACTGATACTCTGGATAAGTAGTATGCAAATGATCGCAGTAGCTCACGCTGTACTGTCGTTTTATACAGTCTTCGTTTACTGTGTAGTTATAGATGAGTATATTGCAATCATGGTTAGCCCATGGACCACATACATAATAGGGCACTGGTTTCTCAAAGCTTATTAAGAAGTAATGGAGTATGAACGATATAATAGTATGGTTATAGATTATAAACAAAATCTGCCATATTACTTGTACGTAGCCGATATGCGAAAGACATTTGCGAATTTCCCACACCTTAATACAGTCTCGGGCCGTGAACTGACCAATGATCGTTTCCATATAGAATAATGGTATACCGATGAGGACGAATATAACTATACTGCACAGAATATTGCCAAGTGTCCCAGACACCAGAGCTGTCGTCGGTATGTTTATTGTACAAGCAGTCCCTATAGTCTGGCATAGCAACATAAGAATGTGTACACGTCTCGAAGAACAGAACTCTTCTTTTTTGATCGCCATACTGATTGTTTTGATTGATAATAAGATTTCTGAAGCACTTAAACAACTAACATCATGGCCATGCTGAAAATATATCAACGAAATTGACACCAGCGAGAATCATCCCAATTGGTAGTATAGATTAAATATAACTGTAAAAAAGTGTATACGATGTGTCATACTAACTAAGCTTAAAGGAACGAAGTGTCATACTAAGCTGTGAAAATAAAAATAAAAAAACGTATGCGTGCTTGTGTAGGCACGTAAGAAGTCGTACTTATTTAGTGTACCGAAAAAAGTAAAATAACAAAAAAATTATCCATTGTGTCAATACTCTTTGTTTGTTAAAAAAACATTAAATCGAATTGATAACGATAAAGTTGTTACTGCACGCCATGATAATATCGTGAAGTTAGTCGAAGTTGGTCGCTTTGCAACGAACTCATCATGTCCTTTTAGGGTTCCCTACCCAAATGGTAAAAGGTCTCATAAACCGTGATCAGTCTTTACTATAAGGGCCAACGGGGCTCCCGTGTCCCTGTCATCACGGGGCCCGGCATTGTCTACGTATTCATTTAAACAATTTTTTGTCTGTTTTTCGTAAATATAATCCCACAGAAGTTTATAGAATAAATGAGAAAGTCCCTAACAAGATTTTCTTACCACTCAAACCATTGACAAGCCAGTTGAGAGCATGGCTCTGTGTAATACTACATATAAACCGGGTTTGACAGAAAATGTGACCGAGGGAGTCGAGGGTCCGTTCCCGAAAAATAGCGACAACTCTACTGCTGAAATTCAACCTCTGAATTAAGTTTAAGTCCAGAATAATAAAAAAATTAAAATATGGAAAAATTAGTTTAATCCCGCTATTAACATTAAACGCTGGACCGTAGCTAACAATTAATAGAAATCTAAAATTCGCGCATATCGCGTAATAAGCCAAAACGAGGCGAAAAACCATAGAAATTAAGCCATGTATTAAACGTCATATGCAGCCATATAATAATACTAGCTGCTACCCGCAACTACGTCTGCGTAGAATAGGCTGAAGGCGTAAGATTCAGATAGAAGGACAGATATACATAAAATATGTATATAAATTATAGCCTATGTCTTATTCTAATGTATAAGTTGTAAAATTGTAAAGTTTCATTAAAATCCATTCAGTAGTATTTGCATAAAAGAGTAACAAACATCCATCCATACATACAAACTTTCGCCTTTATAATATATTAGTTAAGGATATCTGTACCTCATAGGTGAACATTATGCGACAAAACTCAAATTTTACAGGAAAGGCAAAAATTCATTGAATGTATTAATGATAAGAATGTTTTATAGCTATTGAAATAATCTTAACTGTATCTTTCATTATTAATTGAGAAGATCATCATGTCTGATTCATTATTAAGTTAAAGTATATACATCTATTATTATAATTATTATTATATTAACAGTATATACAGCGTGTCGTTACAACTGCAACAATAAATGAACACACATATAGAAGATAACTTTTTAAAATTGTATTATAAGCATTTACATTCTTTAAACATCATTTTTACCGTGTTTTCAAATTTTACAAAACAAACATTTTTAGAACACCCTTACGTATAAAACTGTAACGTAAAGTTCATTTGTAAAGATCACAAAGTATATGAATGGGATGAACTAATTTAAAAGATATAAAACATACTGTTAGAAGAGAAGACTTGTAATGATAATATCAGCGTAAGATAATATCAGCGTAGTAACGCTTTTCAATTATAAGGGTTGCGGGAGGAGTTTACATAACGAAAAAAAATAAAATTATGTTGTGGAGTTGAAAAATATATCATTTATTTTCATGCAATTATAATAGTACTCTATTACTCGCAAGTCATCGACATGTGCTTACGAAATGTAGTGCTGGAGACGAATGCTAAAGATACCATGGACAGCCATGAGGACGAACTCGTCAATTTTACAAGGGCTCTCATATACCGAGAAAGTCAGATAAGCTTCTTCGGACATATAATGTGATCACAAATGTATGAGCTGGAGAAGCAGCCGATCGTGGGACAGATGCAGGGGAAGCGCTCCAGGGGCCGACGATGTCAATTCCAAGACGATGGCGTAAAAGAATAAAAAGTATTGTAGAGGCAACAGGAGAAACTCTACAACTACACATTGAATTGGCGCAGGACAGAAACAAACGGCGACAAGTTATATAATTATGGTCATAATGTGAGGGAACGACGAATAAGAGAATAACTGATAGCCTCGTATACTTACGCGCTTATCAGTTCATAGATCAATTAAAAAAGCGGTTGGCCGTTAATTAGGTAATGATGTTATATAGTTTGCACAAGTTTGTGTTTTGGTTGTTAGAATCCGTTAAATCCCGTAACTGCCATTCGAATTGATAATCTTTTTGCAATAGATAGCCCTAGCATTAGATATTTTTGACAAATAATATAGGTTAAATAAGATCACCCTACGACCCCGAGGAGCTAAGCAAATGAATAAAAAGCGCGGGTGGGCACTATTACTTCATGGGTATCAAAAGTTGTACGCGGACAGATTCGCGGGAACCACTACTTTTAATAATATAAGAAAATTAATCATGTATCGTAATAAAGCATGTCACTTACGATCTTTGTGTACCAAGATAGAGATTGCATTCCTGTCGCTGTAAACAGTACCTTAATAACCAGAAATAAGGATCGATACCATAATATGCGTACAGGAGATGATATTGCTTACCTCTCGTTGCGTTTTCGCTACAAAATATTGTATAAAAAATAATAAAAAAACACTTAGTATCTTCTGACGTTGTATCATTTTGTTCCATGACAATTACTAAATCACACAGTAGTTTTCCACGTGAAAACACGAGGTTTTAGCTATGTTTAACGATAAAAACGCAATGTTTAACCAAGATGTCGAGATTTTGGCACTGTGTGATCATTGGCCGCTTAACTTGGTTCGTAAAGCATCTGGGCGCGAAACCATACGAAACTTATTATTTATTTACTTACAAAAAATATTTTAAAGCTGTCCCATTAACCATAAAAATATAAAACAATAGCAGAAGAATGTTTTTGTAATTCACTTTTTTTACTTTCTATTTTAAGAAACTTATTAAAAAAACTTGGTAAAAATTGGATTATTATAATATAAACGAATACACTAATAAAAATAACCCCTGGTAATGAGTTGATCGCTCCCAAACTATTTCTAAATGGGAAAAATATCAGTTGTATAATTTGTATTTTTTTAAGAAAAAAATGACAAAGAAGATTTCTACCGAGTTTCTTTCGCCTGTTTCTTTTCCGCTAGAGAAACCTCGTTACCAAATGGTGGTAGATTAAAAAAAATATGACTATCGATGAGAGATGAAATGTAAGTTTTTTTTGTCGATGAATAAATGATTTTGATTATAAGTAATACAACGTCTGTCAAGTTAATTTCAAAGATCAACATATTACGCATATTCTCTTGAAAGTACGGATAATCCGAGCAGGTGTCTAACAGATAATGAAATTACAATTGATAAACAGCGTGCAGTTTCACTTCGTATACTCCGATACGAGACTTAGACCCGTTTACTGCAAGTAAATGTTTCCACAAGGCTTTCTTGTTTCACACTTACCAGCAACGACCATAATATCCACAACATCTATTTCATGTTTTAATGAAATACACGATGCCTGTTAGAATGAAAAATAGCTGTTTCGAGCTTTTCCGTAGGCCATTCTACATGATATAATGATGAGGAATAAAAACTGATTTTTCTTAAGGATATGCAAAATCAAGATTATTATAGACTACAGTCTCTATGTTGTCAATTACATTATTTAACTTGCAAAAAGAATATATACAGCCTTTAAAATGGAATTGCAATTGATTTGTTTTCTGTAAATTATGATTTAATGTTAATTAAAAATAATCACGCAGCATTAATTTTTATCTCACTTGAAACAACATTCCGTTCCTAGGTTTTGTTATCGCGCCCAGCGATTCTAGTTATC